TTTTTTTTTTTTTTTTTTTGATGTATTGTATTTTATTTTTTTTTTTTTTTTTTTTTTTTTTTTTTTGAGAAATTTTTATAAATTGTTGTAAAATTAATGTTAAATTTTTATTTTTCAGAATTGTACAAATTGACGGGCGAAATCCTTGGCGAAGGCGCCTACGCCTCTGTACAAACATGCGTTAACATCTATACCGATTTGGAGTATGCTGTTAAGGTGATTGACAAGATACCGGGACATGCGCGTGCGCGTGTTTTTCGTGAAGTGGAGACATTCCATCACTGTCAGGGACATCCGGGCATTTTACAATTAATTGAATTCTTTGAAGATGATGAAAAATTTTATTTGGTTTTCGAAAAGGTATGTAAAAAACAAAAAGAAGTTTCTTTAAAGTTGAGGTAATAATAATGCATCTTTTTCTATTTTAATTATTTTTTTTATAGATTAATGGCGGCCCCCTTTTGAGGCGTATTCAAGAGCAAATTTGCTTCTCAGAACACGAGGCAGCGCAGATTATCAAAGAAATCGCATCGGGCTTAGATTTTCTGCATAAGAAAGGTATTGCTCATCGTGATCTGAAACCGGAAAATATTTTGTGCGTTTTTCCGGATAAATTGTGTCCGATTAAGATTTGCGATTTTGATTTGGGATCGGGCATTAAATTCACCACAGACGTATCATCGCCATCAGCAACGCCGCAACTATTAACACCAGTAAGTAAATAAAGAAAAAAAATGGTGTGAGAAAAAAAAAATAAAACACAAAAATTATATACTCAAAGTAACGGTTATAATTTTTGATTAAAAAGCTATGTTTTCATTTTTGCAAATCGATTAAAATATTTTCGGACAAACCGATTTTTTGATGATGTATTTTTTTTTATCAAAAAAAAAATATTCTTTTAAGATTTTAATGCTTTTCGATAAATGCGATCGGTTTTTAGATTTAAATTTTTGTAAGAGAAAATAGTTTTCTTTTTAAATTTTATATCTATTAAATTTAAAATTTTCCGACCACATTTGGCCGATATTTTGTGATTCTTACTTTTCGAACTATGGAATTCGCAAAATATTGATTAAATATTTGAAAAAAGTAAATATGTAAATAATGATTATGCAACAATAATAAAACTGGAAAAGAAAATAAATAAATAAAATTATGTTTAAATTCGAACGGTATATGGCAAAAAATTTAATTGCTAGTGCGAGTTTTAATTTACCCAAAATTGTGTTAATGGTCCTAATTTATTAATTATTCAATTTTCTTTTATTTTTTATTTTTCCTTGTATTGAAAGGTTTGTTTAATTCCATACATAAATTAATATTTTTGTATTTTATATTATTTTCTAAATTTTTCCTAAATAAACTATTTTCAATTATTTAAATTTAATAATTTTTTAATATTATGTATTTTTTAATTCGAACATTCTTCGCACTTTTAGTTACAAAATTATTTCATAAATAACGTATTAATTTTTTCCAGGTCGGCAGCGCAGAATTCATGGCGCCCGAAGTTGTTGATCTATTCGTTGGCGAGGCAAATTACTATGATAAACGTTGTGATCTGTGGTCGCTTGGTGTGATCGCTTATATTCTATTATGTGGCTATCCACCATTTTCGGGCAATTGTGAAAAGGATTGCGGCTGGAATCGCGGTGAAAACTGTCGCACCTGTCAGGAGTTGCTCTTCGAGTCCATACAAGAAGGTAAACATTATTCTCTTCAAACTATGCCAATCTGTATACTTATAAGTTTACGCTTTAAATAATTCATTCTTTGCAGGACGATTCTGTTTTCCCGAAGCTGAATGGAGGGACGTTAGTGAAGAGGCCAAAGATTTAATTCGTGGTCTACTCGTCAAGGAAGCGCCAAAACGTTTAAGTGCCGAAGCCGTGCTAAATCATCCATGGATTAAATTTTCTGAGGAAGAAAATCCGAGCGATAGCAAGAAGATGGAAAATCGGCGAAAAGCATTGCGCACACCTGGCAATATAAGGCGGTAAGTTGGGGGATTTGTATAACTGACCGTGTCCTACATAAGTAATTGTTTGTTTGTTTGCTGCCTTACTAATTTTATACATTTATTCTTTCGCTTTATTTAGCAATCAATCTGCGCGCGAAATTTCGCAATTCGCCGAATCGGCAATGGCTGTGAAACGCGTGATACTACAACACTTCTCCATGCGCTATGACTACATGAAAGAGCGTCCAAATATTTACCAGCCATCTCAAATGCAATTGGACAATGACAACGCCGATGCAAACAACCCTCCACTTATTTTCAAAAAACCACCACCGCCACGTAGCCGTTCCATGAATAATACGTTGAGCGTTAGTAATAATCGTTCCATTTATGGTGGTCGTAATAGCAATTTGTACGCCACACGCCATTCAAATCGTTTGGGCAGCATTAATGGCATTGGTGGTGGCGGTAAATCGTCAAGTATCTATCAACCGGGTTCCGCAACGTTCAAAACACTTAACGTGCATGAAGAGGATATTGACGATGAGGAGGCGCTAGAGGCATTCGGACGGCTCGATGAGGACGAAGAGTGGGCGCATCCCAGTGAACATCGTAACAGGTATGACGATACGGAGGAGAATGAAGAAGATCGGGAAATAAGACGTTTGCACTTGGAGAATAATGTTGAGGATGAGAGTGATTACGAGGATTACCCCCATCATTGGCGTGAAATGGATGATGAAGATGAGGAGTTCGGAGTACTGGGTGAGCTTGAGAATGATGTGAAAGAAGCACCAAGCACATATGAGCCACATGGAGAGTTTGGCGAGTGCAGTGATAATTATACGCCCCATGACTATGACGATTACAACAACAAACGTCCAAAATACTATCTAGATGATGATGAAGAATTAGAGATCGAAATGGAAGCAAGTGATCGTTATCGTCATGGCGATTATGGTGATAATGCTATTACTAGTGATGATGCGGAGGATAGTTCCTGTGTTAGGGGTGATGACAAATGCAGTAAGACAACTTTACTACAGGGTGCCATGCAAATTAAGGAGGGGGAGAAATCAGCAGGAGCTGCTGGAAGTAATGCTTCTGAGTTAAGTTTTAATAAATTACATATTAATGATAGTAAGGATACGAACGAAAATAACGAGTGGAAGTGGCGCGTTAAACAGGAGCGTATGTCTGAAAATAATGATTATATAAATGTTGATCATAATAAAGTTAAGATTAATGATAAAGATGATGATGAAAGTAATTCGCTTGGAAGAGGAGCAAATGATCTGGATGAAAGTGTTTTCAATTTAGAGCAAGAAAACATTGAGAAGCAAAATAAACAACAACAACAACAACAACAGCAACAGCAAAACAATTTTGCTAACGAATCGAAATTGAATTTCGGTGAAAATTCAAATACGAAATTCAAAACTTATTATAACACTGAAGATAATAAAATTGAAAGGAAAAATGTTGATAATGATGATAACTCGAAGAAGGTTTATCGTAGTAGCAGCAGCAGCAGCAACGGCAACACTGGCGACAACGGCAACAAAGCAAATGATTTGTTGCTGGACGCCGAACAGAAACAACTTCCAGTAAGTGATATTAATAATGTAACAATCACCAATTTAAATACAACAACAACCACAACAACAACTGCAGTAAATGCAAACAAAACAACACTCACCACCAACGACAACAACAGTTATGTTTCGAATGTTGAAACAAATGCAAAAAATGCAAATACCAACATAATCGAAGCAGGTAATGTTGCAATAACAAAAGAAAATGCTAATTTATTGGCTAGTATTAGTGATTTGAAAGAAACGCTACCTGAATTTAATGAGACTGCAAACATTGTTGCCGCCAATACCTCAGGCGAATACGCATCTGAAACTGCAGCAGTCAATGCGAAAATGGGCAAGTCTACTGAACGCAAGCAATGGGTAGCTGCGAAGAAAGGCAAAGGTGGCAGCGGCGGCGCGGAGAAAGGCGTAGGCCAGAATGCGGCGGCAACAATGCGAACGACTTTTGGCAATCAACAACAACAACAACAACATCAGCAGCAGCAGCAGCAGCAGCAGAAAGAGCAACAAACACATAAACAGCTAAAACAACAGCAGCAGAAACAGTCGCAAAAGCCACATCAAAAGCAACACCAACATCAACAGCAACAGCAGCATCAGCAAAAACAACAACATACAGCGCAAGCTCAAAAACAACAAATTTTGGTGAAAAATAAACGTTCACCGCGTGCAAATAAAACACCGCGTACCGTCTGCTTTGCCCTTGGCAATACTAACGCACGCAACGACGACGATTATGATGCATATCAGAATAATAATTACGACGCTGAACTGGAGGACGATGCCGATGAGGAGGATGTAGTTTACGGCAGACCACGTTCTCACAGCAATAACACCAATGCAACCGGATATGGGCGGCGCCAGCAACAATACAACAACCATCGACGCTATTCGCAACCGTTGTCAACCGGAATTAATGGCAACAAGCAACAACAACAACAACAGCCAGGCGGTCAAAAAACCGAGAATTGGCGCAGCCGTGGTGGCATACTAATTAATGGCGGTAACAATGGTGGCGGAGAGTCGTCAAACGGCGGTAGCAACACCGTAAGTGCCGCAGTAGCCGCTAACAATTACCGCAACAAGTATCGTTCGCAAGGCGGCAATTCTAGCGGTGCTTGGAATGCAGGCGGCGGTGGAGCTGTTGGTAGTGCCGGTCAACGCAATGGTGGTAGTGGTCCCATCAGCTACTACTACAATACACGTTCTGGCGCTGGCAGTGGCAGTCACGTTGGCGTAAGTGGCGCTTCACCACCATCCGATGACAGTGGCAGTGGTGGGTCATCCGGTGGTCCCATACACAATTGGCGTAACGATTGCGTCTACACGGGTGTGCGTAGTTGCGGCATGCAACAGCGTCGTAGCTATCAACATCCATCACAGCCACGCTACTCACCCACTCAGGATGCCGGCTATGGTAGTTGGGGTGGTAATGGCGGTAGCGGTGCTGCTGCAACCATTATGCGTGCACAAATCTTCAGCAGCAATCAACAACAGCCACGTATCGGATCCGGACGTTTTACACATTCTCCCAATGGCAGTATGTTTGTACAACAGTCGCGCGGAAGTGGCGGCATTTACGGTGGCATAAATGGCGGTTATGGCGGCGGTGGCATCGTCAGCGGTTCTCCACCATCACCTGGCATTGGACTCTCACCGCCGAGTGAGAGTATATTAATGCAGCGACGTATGCGTGTAACAGGCGCTGGGCAGCAGCATCGCAATAATGATTTCGGTGTAGTTGGCGATTTCTGTCAGTCAGCAACGGCAAATGGTTAATAAGTTAAGCGAAAAGTTTACTACAAACACACACACACACACATACACTACGTGCATACATTCTACACATATATACTATATAAAAACACAATAAACATAAAAAAGGAAAACATTCAAACAAAATAGGGCAGTGAATCCTTCATATTCACATGGCAGGTATCTGCTTGCTCTAATTTGTTATTTTTTTTAATAACACGAAACCAATTGGAGTCCATTTACATATATAAATTTTAATTTCAACTTCAAAGTAGAACTTTATAGTCTGTGTGAATGCGCAATACTTTGAAAAGAAAAGGAAAAAAACATTAAAAAAGAAATTGCTGAGAGAGGAAGGAGAGTGTTGATTCCAGGGACTGTAAATAATGATTATTTGAAATTTTTTTCATGTAAGGCCGCATAAATACAAGGCAAATAGAAAAACACATGCCACATGCGTCCTGATCCGAAGTGAATTTTATAATTTTGCTTAGTTGATAATAATAATTATTCAACGAGTTTAATGTAAACACTCATTAAATATTTGTTATTATTGTAAGCAAAAAAAAATATTGTTCAGAAAATAATTATTATTATTTTAGCGTTATTTTTTCGCTTGAAATATTGCTCAAACTCGAATAATTTTTTTCAACTCCGAATTTAAGTGTGTCAAGAATTAAGCTAGTTTCATCAATATTTTGAGCGAAAAAATAATGCTTTTACTTTTGATTATTGTTTGAGCGATATTTTTTTATTTTTTGTTTACAGTAATAATTATTATTTTTTGGCTGTTTACATAAAGCTCGTAGAATAATTATTATTATCAACTAAATAAAATATTTAAAAATTAATAAATAATCATTAAATTTAGATTTATAATTTATAACTCATGATTATTACGGTCCCTGATTGGTACCATAAATTTTGTAAAGAAAATTATAGAAGATAATATGTTTAGAGCTACGGCATAAAGCGGAAAAGTTTCGATTTAATTTTGAGTTCTTTTTCTGACTTTATGCATAAATAGTAACTTTTTTTTATATATATAAAAACAGCGCCTACTTAATTTTTACACCCTCACACACACGAAAAAACGCAAAACTTTTTTCGATTTTAACTATAATTTCAACTACTTATTTAAAAAAAAAAAAAAAGAAAAAAATATTTTCTGTTTATATCACTTGCATATATTGGTTTGTTCATTTTTTGTGCCGGAAAGTTTAGTTTTGAGTGAAACGCTTTGAAGAGTGTTCTTAAGGGTGCTTTTCTGCAGTTTTTTTTTTTACATTTAACACATACATATAAACATATTCTGGTTTAATTTTATATATGGAAAATTCGAAATTTGGCTTTAAAGTAATATGTTTTAAAAGACTTTTTACTTTCTCAATTTAAATACTTTTTTTTTTAGTATATTTCTTTCTTCCTTTTACAAGCAACATTTTTCTGCTTTTCCATGTACGCGTAGAACATTTTTTAAGCATTTCACTCGATCGTCATAAACTTTCTGTAATTTTAAAAATACAACAATGATAATATTATCTCAAAAATGTATCTTATTCTAAATTATTTTCACTTCAACTATACTTTTTTCTATTTACTACTTTATAATTGTAAAACAAAAACAAAAACAAAAAACACAAACAAAAAAAAATTGTAAGACTTTCGCAACGACTGGTTAATTCAAACGCTAAAAGCAGAAGAAGAAGAAGAAGATGAAAATAGCAACTATTAAGCATATAATGTCAAAATTGTTGTATGATGATGATTAATAAGTATGTTGATGTTTTAATTATTGGCTGTTAAGACGGAGATGTAATGGCTTTTTGGCTCGCTATGACGTGTGATGTGTGTGATGTTTTATGTTGAAAGAACAAGAAAACACCTGCAACAAATGCATTCACATCTACACACACACGCGCACACACCCATACATTAATAAACACATACTTTTGTTACAAAAATACACCTAATAATACATTAAACGAAAACAAAAACTTCGAATGTGAAAATGTGAAAATGTGTTTAGCGAAGAAAACGAAGAAACAAAACATTTTTTTTTAACATCATACAAACCAAAAAGTCGTTCACTTTTTTTTATAAAAAAAGATATGATAATTCATATAATTTTTAATAATTATAAAAACAAAACTTTTTTTTGCATAAAAACACAAAATTGATATACATATATAAAAGCGAAACATAAAAAAAAACAAAAATGATCTGAAGTTTGATTCTTTGATAAGTATATAGTATAACTGTCTATCTAAAAACATGCATATGTATGTTATTACAAAACTTTGGTTATGTGCGGCAGAAATAAGTTGACTTTTTTGAACTGATAAAAAAAGATGTAAGCTTTGCTCGCGGCGGAAACTTTAATGAATACCAGCTGCTTTTCTGATTTTCGATATTTTGTACTAAGTTCAGGTAAATTTGTATTTTTTTTATTAAAAAAAAGCGGCAAAAAATTGTTCATTAAAAAGCTTACACTAGTAGGTATGCTACATACTGACAGTGGGGAGCAAAAAAATGAGTGCATCTTCACTTGTTTTCCTTTTTGGATTGAATAAATTAGAAAATAGTAAAGCAAAATAAATCTTTTTTTTAATTTTTTTGTTTTGTATTTTTTTTTTGGATTTAATTTTTTTTCTCTATTTTTTTAATTTTTTTTTTAAGCTACCCATTCCATGGAACTCCCTACCAGGGTTAGGTAGAACCAATCACATATGCATGCTCATGATGCAAAGATAAAGTTGATTGAGAGATAAAAGTTAAGGTTTGGTCATGGTCATAAGTCGGTTATAATAATATGAATAAATAATAAATAAAATAAAAAATAAAGAAAATACAAAATAAATTCCAAAATAAATAGAATACAAAATAAATAAAATGCAAAATAAATAGAATACAAAATAAATAAATTAACAAATAAATAAAAAATAAATAAATATATGAAATAAAGAAAATTAAAAAAAATTAATTAAATAAAAAATAAATAAAATAAAACAAATAAAATAAAATGTAAATAAAATAAAAAATAAATAAAATAAAAAATAAATAAAAAAATAAATTTAAATTAATTAAAAAATAAAAAAGTAAAAAATAAATAAAATACAAAATCCATAAAATAAAAAATAAATAAAATAAATAGAATACAATATTAATAAATTAACAAATAAAAAATAAATAAATAAATTAAGGAAATTAAGAAAAAAATAAAATAAAAAATAAACAAATCAAAAAATACATAAAAAAATAATAAAAATTAATTAAAAAATAAAAACAAAAATAAATAAAATAAATAAATAAATTAAAAAAAAAAAATAAATAAATTAAAAAAAAAATAAATAAATTAAAAAAAAAATAAATAAATTAAAAAAAAAAATAAAAAATAAATAAATAAATTTAAGAAAAAAAATAGAAAATAAATAAATAAATAAATAAATTTAAAAAAATAAAAAATAAAAAATAAATAAATAAATTTAAAAATAAAAACTAAATAAACAAATAAAATAAAAAAATAATATATAAACAATAAAATAAAAAACAAATAAATAATATTAAAAATAAATAAATAAAGTAAAAGATAAATATTTTATTTGCTTTACTATCGTATGTACGAAAATCAGCACTCAGCTTTGCTCCCAACTGTACATACATACGTACGTACCATGCATTTCCACACATACATACATAGAAAATTGATTAATATTTAACTTACTATCCTAGACTACGCATAACATATATTTGACGCAGAAATTTACTTCATTTACGTATTTCTTAAGAAATAATTATCCCATTTGCTGCATTATAATTGAGCGCCTAAAAGCATGCTACATATTTCTATGAACTATTCAGTACATTGTATGAAATATTGAATATTGAAAAAAAAGAGATACTTCATAAGCTTTATAAATGCGAATATTGTAGTTGAAGTTTCAGAAAATTTCTAAAACTTTTTTAAATGCAACGTCGAAGTGGTTATGCATGAATACCCTGATTTATCTCTCGTCCGGTGCTTGATTTAAAATTTTAGTTATGTATTTTTCTTGTCATCGGCCGTTCGGAGGCGGCTAAGAATAAACAGTATATTAGAAAGCACGAAAAGTCTATACATATGTATGTACATATTATTCTTGGAACGCTCCCAGAAAATTGCAATTTTTCGGTTAGAAAAAAATCGATTATTTTGCAAAAAAAATTTCAAAAGGGAGCCGCCCCAGCTAAGTTCGTGCAGCAATTGCAGGAAATCAGTGAAAGATTAAACGCCATTGGGCCAACAGCAGGTGACAGCGATGGCTGGCAGAAGCTAATTGTATATATTTTTCTGAAATCTCTTTTTAAAAATGCAAATGTCTTTCCGATTGGTTGAACACTTCTACCAAAATCTCAGATATGAATCATAGAATGATTTTTCATGCTCCGTTGTGTATTTACAATTAATCTTTTTAATCTTTGGGACTCGTATTTGCAGTTCTTCCACCAGGCCGAATATTAAATTCTTAAAACATTTGATTGTTATTTGATTGAAATGTTGTAAAATTATAAAAGGTTGGCAACCCTTAAAATAAATTTTCATTCTAAGCCTTAAAAGGTCAGTTTATTACCCTCAATATTCATCATTGAACTTACCAGCTTAAATGTAATTTAATTTTCCAAATAACTGGCAACTCTTTTGAAGAACTTCTACACTAATAAACTTTTGAAATTTCTTTATTCCGACAGCCATATAGTAATGTGTAAGGTATTTTGCTTGCTTTTTTTTTTTTTAATAATTTTCATACATATTTTGGTGGCAACGCTGCCCGACAATAATTGTTTTTTTTTATTAAGCTCTTTTTTCAATCTCTACAATTTTGATTGTAATATTTCACTTATTTCGTCACTCTTTTTTAATTAAATGTACAGTGGGTAGCACAGCGAATTGTGAGTCGAAATCATTTTAGAATATCTCTTTTATCATTTCGGTTCAGGCATTTAGCTCGGCCTCAGCCGTTGACATCCTTACTGAAGGACTTTTATGTTCTATAAATAATTAAAAAAAAATATGTCAACTTTGTTGAATTATAAATTTAACTGTACTTGAAATTTTACAAAATTTATTACACAAAATTTCATCCAAATTGATTTAGCCGTTTAGTAGAAATTTTAGCCATAAACACGCCTACAGAGTATTTATAGGTACATACATATATACAGGAAAATTATAGGGGCTATTGCAAATTCAGTGTAACAAAATCATCTGCATAATGGTCGAAATACATTGTAGAAATTTTAATGAATTTTTGTGTAGTCAAACGCGAGTTTTAATGTAAAACCAAGAACATAATTTTATATACATACATATATTATATGAATACGGTGCCACGTCCCCTACGCCAAATGATAAACTTCAGATAAAATATTTGCTTAAATATGCCGTGCAAATTTGATTGAATTCGCTAAAGTTGTTCTCAAGTTGCAAGGTTACGCCAAAAACATTCACTTTATTATATATATATAATATTTGCATGTATGTATATGTCCACCTACATGTGTATATGTGTGCTTAGCTTTATGAATGAAATTCGATTTTAGTAACGATTTTCTTCATTTACTAACGCAAGTAGCGTTTCCCCTTTGGAAAATAGTTTCTCGTAGCATACTTTTAGGCGCTCACAGGAATATTTTATGAGCAGCTTGGATTGTTTTTTTTTTTCTTTATACCTTTCAAAAGGCATTATTTATCAGCAGAAAAAAAGAAAAATTGTGAAATTACTTTTTATTTACATACATACTTATGTGCATATGTTGCTGCAGCATATTTATTAAATATTATTACTGCAAAAATTTAGTGTTAAAAATGATTGCTTCATTTTTTTTATGAAAAAATGAGCATAACTTTACTATTATTGAGAAAAAAAAAAAAAATAAATAAATAAAATTAAATTGCGCTCAATTACTGATGCCAAAGCTGTTATATTTGAAATTTGGAAAATAGAAATGAGTTTTAGAGCTAAGCAAATTGCCAAAACCAGACTAAAAATGTTTGTATGTATGTACATACATGTGTATGTCGTTGGGCTGCGAACAAACTAACGAAGACGAAATTTGCAACAACACGCGCCATTGGCCACTTATGCTCAACTTCATTCTTTTTTATTATAAAAATTATTTTATAAACATACCAACTTTCATACATCCTATATACTTAGACAGACATATATGTTAAAAACAAAAATGTTGATTATTTCGAAATTTTTTAAAGCAAAAGTGCAACACAAAAACCAAAAAAAAAAACAAAAAAAAA